CGGCCCGAGGGCTGGCCCCGCTGCACGGGTCGAGCGCGACCGCCGGGCGTCCGTAGTAGCCCCCTCTGCGCCGTGCGGCTCGGCGCTCGGGGTCCCAGCCCCTGGCTCAGCTCTAAAGCACCGGCTCCCAGCTGGAGGGCTCGAAGCGGGTCCAGAGCCCCTGAAGTCGTCCGCATCGCTGCGTGTGATGTGGTTTTGCGGATGTGCATTTTTCTGGGGAGAAAGTTCTGTTCTGAGAGCCAAACATTTTGAGATGGGGGACGGGGACGGAGCAAAGCGAGCCTCGTCCCACTACTCGCTTTTTAGACCTAAAACGCAGATAGGCCTCTGTTTCCTGCCCGCCTTGAACCCGAGAGCAGAGTGAGATTCCCGACGGGCCGCGGAGGGGGTTGCCCCGGCCAGAGTTTCATTAGAAGCGCGAGCAGCAGCAGTTCGCCGTCTCGGCTGCGCTGCTAGCGGGGCGTTCGGCCTCGGGCCTTGCTGGACCTCAGTTGGCTCGGCTATACAATGGGGTCGTACGGCCTTCCACCCTTGAACCCCCGAGCAAACTTCCGCAGGGCCCTGGGGCACCCGCTGGACCCTACACGAGCTAGAGGTCCCCAGCCCTGCCCGGAGCCTGATTTGCAACCTCGGGTCCCTAAGAAACCTGGAGAGGCGGCGTGACTTTCGCATACCCCAGTAATCCCGAACTCGCCCCGAGGGTTTAGCATCCCTAACATCTAGGGAGCCCGTGGACAGAGGCGAGGCTGCCGATCTCTCCGGCGTCGCAGCCCGACCCCTCCCGCCAGACCCCGGACGCCGTCCGGGTAATAAAGTTCCCGCTCTAGTAATTTATTTTCCTTAATCTGTACGCCCCTAATCTACAGCTTTTATTGCGCCCAGTTAAAAGGCGAGGGAATTCGCTGTCCCTCCCCGCTCGGATAATTACCCCTAAATGGCCACGGCAGCCCCTTGTGTTTCCTGGAGATTAGAACCCCGCAGTCATCAATGGTCGGTCCCAGTGAGCCGCCCATCACCTCTGCTAGGCCCCGGGACTCGCCCGCCTGGGTCCCGGGACAAAAAGCCATCAAGAGGAGGCACAGGAACCGGCCGAGCCCCCCACCCTCGTTTGCATAGATCTTACGTCTCCCCACCCCAAGTCATTTTTCCTCTTTTTTTTAGCAGCACAAATAAAGTCAAGGTTCCCCCGAAATGGGCAGAATGAAAGTTCTCAAGCCCAGCACCGAGGATCCGCCGCCAGGCACCGTCCTCTCTCTGCCGGGCCTCTCCCGAACGTGCTCCTGCCCTCCAAACCGGCGACCCAGAGACAGGGGCGCGTGATTGTTTCCGCGGACGCATTGTCCGAGGTCACGTTAAGGCCAGATCGGTGTTTTGTTGACGTTTCTGTTGGTTTTACTTCAATAAGTTCGATATCAAAAGAATCTGGTGACTTCTTTCGCCAGCCCTGTCGCCGGCCTAAGTATGGTGACCAATTCCCCTCCCCGCCCGACTGCAGAGCGGAAAAAAGACACATCGTGTATGAAAACCGACTCTAAATTCTGGGTAATAGGATGAATTCTTACATCCCTAGCGCTGCAGACACGTGGCTTCTTTCGGCGAACTTTAGTCCAGTTTTTAGAAGAGATAAAGGCCCACTTTTACCCGCAGATAAAGCTTTGACGATTGAAACAGAGGAAGAAATGAAGATATATATGTTTTTAAAGAAATTACTATTCTGTCCTTCTGTTAGGATATATAACCCCGAGTGTACTTTTTAAATATTAAAAAAAAATGCAAGAAATGACTCAACTTGAATTACTGTCGTAGAGAAAGGGGACGCAGATAGGGGAAAGGGGGATAGAAACAGCAACAGAGGGAAGAGAAAGGTAAAAGATGCGGTGGAGTAGAGAAAAGAGGCAAGGGGGCGAGGGGAAAAGGAGTGGGAAAGAGGGGCGACAAGGGCGACAAGGGACAGGGAGGACAGAGGAACAGAGGCGCGAGAACCAGTGAAAGTCCCCTAGGAACAGGGCAAGACAGAGGCCCAGGGGGACGCAGACAGAGTGAAGCTTCCAGGGCTTTGGGGCGGAGGAAAGTTTCCCGGGCGCCCCCTCCCCTCCTCTGCCCTCCTGGGGCCGGCGCTGCCCTGCGCGCCCCCAGGCCCAGCGCGCCTCCGGGCGAGTCCCCAGGAGCGCGGCCCAATGGATCGCTCCGGGCCCGCCCCTCGCGCGCTGATTGGCCGCCGCCGCGCCGGCCTCGCCTTATTAGCAAGTTCTCTGGGGAGCGGCGGCCGGA